GAGCTAGTTCCAGGATAGGCTCCAAAGCCACAGAGAAACCCTGTCTTGAGACAACCCCCCCCCAAAAAAAAATAAACTACTGGGTGGTACACACTACACTCTATACTGGGAAGGCAAAAGTCCCTACCAGGTCAAGATTCCTTGTTGACCGAGCAGTTTAAGAAAACAAGGCACGAGGGCATCCCAGAAGAAGGCAACTTCATTCCTTCTTTTTTTTTTTAAGACAGGGTTTCCCTGTGTAGCTTTGGAACTTGTCCTGGAACTAGCCTGCCTCTTCCTCCCAAGCACTGGGATTAAAAGGCATGCAACACCACCGCCCCGCCCTCTGTTTTTGTTGGTTTGGGTTTTTTGTTTTTTGAGACAGGATTTCTCTATGTGTAGTCCTAGAAGTTGCAGTGTAGACTAGGCTGGCCTCCAACTCACAGAGATCCGCCTGCCTCTACCTCCAGAGTGCTGCGATTGAAGGCTTGTGTCATCACGCCCTGCTTCCTCCTTTTTAGTCTGCTTCCTGGAGTCAGTTTTGTGGCAGGAATTTTTGTTCCTCGGCCGTTTCCTGGTAAAATAAATGGTTCTCTTCACTTCCGAGAACTTCCTGGTTGGCCAGGCCGTGGTGGTGCACGCCTTTAATCCCTGCACTCCAGAGTATCTCTGTGACTTCCTGGCCAGCCTGGTCTACCAAGAGAGTTCCAGGACAGCCAGAGCTATTACACAGAGAAATTCCTTGTGGTGGCCTGGAGCAAAAAACAAAACAAAACACTGCCTTCATTGTTAAGGCTTTCTCCATTTCATTTCCCTTTCTCCTTCCTCAGTTACAAATCCATGGTAGTTCATGCCTGTAATCCCAGCACTTAGAAGGCTGAGGTTACAGGCTGAGGTCCTAGTAATCAATATTCTTTTCTTTCTCTGAAAAGCAAGTTTGTCTGTGTTTTCCTACGTAGTCCACCTGGCCTCAAACTCCAGGTCCTCTTGCCTCCATCTGAGATTGCAAGCTTGTCCAGTAGGTAGGTTGTTTCTGTTTCTCCTCTTTTTCAAGATTCTGACTTTTTTTAAGGGTGTTCGTGTGAAGGGTGTGTCCCCACAGAGACCAGAAGGGAATGTCACATCCCTTGGAGCTGGAGTTACAGTTGTTTGTGGAATCCTATCTCTGGTCCTCTGATGGAGCAGTAAACACTCTTTAACCACTGAAGTGGTTAACAGTGGCATGCAGAGCATAGCAACTGCCCTGGGAGGGCCTATAGGCCATAACACAGGACAGGTCGGACAGGTCGTCCAAGCCCGGAAGCACACCAATCCTGAGACGGACCCCTAGACAAGCCCCTTACGCTGCCCGGTTTCTCAGTTTCTCCCGGTCCTTCTCGTGCCAGCCTCCGTGTGTTGGATGGATGAAGGGCCCGAGTTAACTGGGTTAGCTCATTAAACAATAAGATTCTTTGCTTTTGCATTGGAAAGGATCTCTTGGTGATTTGGGGGTTCAGAATTTGGGCACAACATGTGTGTAGCACGTGTGTGTACCACCATGCCTGGCAGAACAGAGTTTTTGGTTGTGGCAGGGTGGCAGATGGAGTTAGGCAGTTTAAATGAGTTTTTACAAACACCCCATGGAAGCCTAAGTGAATTGTGTTCTGGCATCTGTGTTGGTTAACATTGTCAACTGGACAGGATCTAAAATCACTACTGAGACCAGTCTCTGGGCAGAGCTGTGAGGGATTGTTTAGATTAGGCGAAGTAGGAAGACCCACTCTAACTGTGGGCCGTGCCATCCTTTGGGTGGGGTCTTGGGTAAGTGGGGAAAAGCCTTTATTCTCTGCTTCCTGACTGTGATGAAGTGGTTGGCTGCGCCCTGCACTTGCAACCACACCTTTCCTACTACGATGGGCTGTAAACCCACATAAACCCCACCTCCCTAAAGTTGCTTCTTTTCAGGTATTTTTGTGACAGGAGGCAGAAAATTATTGTGACAAAATTAATAGAGAATGGTATCAGACAAAGTCACTAGGAGAGGTTGTAAAGGGATTGCTCAGCACAGAGGAGTGGGGGCTTAAAGCAGCCAGTGTCCTACCAAGTTCTGTGCCCTAGGAGAAGACTGCAGGGCCTGGAAGAAGGGGCCTCGGAGGTGGAGGGGTGGGGGGTGGAGGTGGAATAGCCTTCCCTTTTTAACAACCATTGTTAATGCTTTTTAAATTTAATTTAAAATATTCTTTGAGACTTATTTCATGTGTATGGGTGTTTTGCCTGTATGTATGTCTATGCACCACATATGTCTAGAAGAAGTCACAGATTCCCCTTGCAGTTATAGCTAGCTGTGAGCTGCCAGGTTATAGTAAGGGTGCTGGGAATAGAAGCTGGGTCCTCTGAAAGAGCAATTAGTGCTTTTTTTTTTTTTTTTTAGATTTACTTCTTTATTTATATGCAGTATTCTGCCTGTTTGTATGCCTGATGGCAGAAGAGGGCACCAGATTTCATTACTGATATTTTGTGAGCCACCATATGGTTGCTAGGAATTGAACTCAGGACCTCTGGAAGAGCAGCCAGTGCTGAGTCACTTCTCCAGCCCCCCAGTTACTGCTTTTTAATGAGTGAGTCACCTCTCCGGGTCCCTTCTTCCTTTTTAAAGTGTGTCTGTGTGTGTGTGTGTGCATTTGTGAACATGTGTGTTCACTCACACATGCATGGAGGTTAACGTCAGGTGTCGTCTTTTGTCACTATTTTACTTTTTTGAGATAGGATCTCTGACTGAACATACTGCTCGGGGCTTGGGTAGACTAGTAAGCTCCAGGGGTCCTCCTGTCTTTGCCTCCCTGGGGCCTGGCTTGTTATGTGGGTAATGAGGATCCAAACTCAAGTCTTCATGCGTGCACAGCAGGCAGTTTACCACTGAACCACAATCCCCCTCTAGCCCTGAGAGCTTCCTTCCTAGATGACATAAAGTGTGCTGGACGAATCCTGGTATTAGGTCTCCTGGGTAGATGCAGACAAAGGGCAGATCATATTTGACGTTGGAAATTGACTTCTCTTTTCAAAAAGAGTGCTTTCCAGGTGAGGAAGGACAAGGCTGAAGTGAACTTGGGGATATACTGGGCTTCTCTGCCTGCAAAGCTGAGGAGCCTGTGTTTAGCCACTAGAAGACTCGAAGTTTGTCATTTCCACATGCTGTGCAAATATCTTCTCCTCCCAGCACTTCCTGTGACCTCATCCTTTTCTTTTTTGAACGCGTCGTGATTTCCTTAAATAAAGGGTCGTGCTGCTATCTCTGTCTTCTCATTTCCCCTGGAGCTGGGAGTTGCCTTTTGGGATCTGACTTATCTTTAATTTCATCACTTTTCCTGTGGCTCTCAGTTCCCACTACAGAAGCAGCTATTAATAACCATCTCCATACGTGTATATCGTAGAGTGACTTGAAATAATGTCCTTAATATATTAGGGAGGTTGTTGCTGTGAGATAGACTCTTACTCCATAGCCCAGATTGGAACTCATTCCGTAGCCAGTCTGACCTCAAGTTCATGGAGATCCTTTTACTTCACTCAGTCTTCTCAGTGCTGAGATTACAGGCAAGAGCCACCACAGTAGGCTCTGTAATATGTTTATGAATGGGACTAGGGGGAGAGAAAGCAGGCAAAATAAGCCTCACGTCAGGATTTGCCTATGACTTGCATGGGCCAGTGTATATGTATATACTGATGTGTTCCTACATACATCTATACATAATGTACAAGAAGGAGGGAACCATTATATCATGGTACTCTAACAATGACTATTGTTGATAAATCCCAATATAAACTTTGCTTCATCAAGTGCGTCTACTTCCAGTAAGCCATCCTTTCCAAACGTTGACTCAGAGCTGGAGAGATGGCTCAACAGTTAGGAATGAGTGCTACTCTTTCTGGGGACCAGAGTTTTGTTCCCAGCCCTCATGTAGATGACTCACAACTGTCTGTCTAACTCCAGCTCCAGCAGATCGGAAACTCTCTTCTGGCCCCCATAGGCACCTGTACACATGTGTGCACATACACACCTGTAGTCATACAGACACACATATAAATAATAAGATATATCTTAAACGAACAAATTAAAGAATAAAAATGTAAAAATTCATTTCTATGATGTGCACCTGTAGTTTCAATTACTTGGGAGGTTGAAGAAAGAGAATCACATGAGTTCATAGGTTCCAGACCCACCTGGACAAAATAATGAGACCCTGTCTCAAAAAAAATGTCATGTGTACAAATAAATTACGTGAATGCTCATTACTTATGGTTTCAAAACTGCACATTACAAGACAGCCTGGGCAGGGCGGTGGTACGGCATGCCTTTAATCCC